CTCTTGGACAAATTGTTGGCGCGTCTCAAAGAGCAGGGGTCACGAGTGCTTATATTCAGTCAGATGACTCGATTATTAGACATTTTGGAGGATTATTGCTTGTGGCGAGGTCACGACTATTTCCGTTTGGACGGTCAGACACGTCATGAGGACCGACAAGTAAGAAACTAGGATTCAGTTAGTAGCATTGTTTGATTTAATCTCACTTGTCAAAGTTGTGCTGTTTCAGTAAATTGGCCTATAGTCTACCATATAGACATTGATACTACTTGCATCATAGATTGCTATTATTATTGTGCCGTTGGAATCATGCTTGCCCTCAATCCAGTGGTATATATGTGTAATCTACGATGTATGAGCCCTCTTTGGAACAAGAAGTATTGATTCAGCGTTATTTTTTTGCACTTATTCTGTAATCTATAAGATGTGCTCCCTTAAAGCAAGTTTTCAGTTCTCTTTTCGTAGATGTGATCGAATTTCTCTTCCCTGTATTGCTCCGCAATGTAACAATGTATTTCATGTGGAGTTGCTGCTGATGTTGGGGATAATGATAGCGATTATGTCTCCTGTGCCCACTGTATTCATTCTCTAAAATACTATACAAAACGGTTTTTGTTCCAAGTTTTCTCTCGAATACTCCTCTTGATCTTATTCCTTAGGTTTACATTGATGAGTACAACCGTCCAGGATCGACGAAGTTCATCTTTATGCTTTCTACTCGTGCTGGCGGCCTGGGGATCAATTTGGCCACAGCCGACGTTGTGATTATTTATGATTCTGATTGGAATCCACAAGTCGATCTACAGGCTATGGATCGAGCACATCGTATAGGTCAGACCAAGACCGTGCGTGTTTTCCGCTTGATCACCGAGAACACGGTCGAAGAGCGAATTATCATGCGAGCGGAAATGAAGCTACGACTGGACAGTTTGGTCATTCAGCAAGGTAAATTGACAGTTTTTGCTCTAGAAAATCAGCTGGATCCTTCTGCGTTTGTCACTTGAATTTCATTGGGTAGTTCGTTGCACCGTGATTAACTTTTGTAGTACTGATATAAAAAGCAAATTTTTCAATCCAGTTTTAGAAGACTGAACGATCAATTATTGTTTCCAGTCATCACATTTTATCTGCCCTAGCATTGTCTAAAATCCACCCATGCTGAGCTGGTATGCTTATCGATTGGATCCCCATCAACAGTCGTTTATGTGCAGTGTGCCTCTCCAGAGTTCAATCAGCGTCCGGAAGGGAAGCAACACCTAAAGGTGTTTGTTCATCGTATCGGCATATGCACCGACCAATTGCAGTTCTGATACGCAAAAGGACGCTTTCTACGATGAACTC